AGCAGGGAGGGATCTGGCAGATAAGTCAACCCTCAAAATGGAGGAGGGGAAGGATATTCCTGATTAATTCTCACAGCAGAGGTGAACTGAAGCAAATGGCATCTCAGATGAGATGGTTGGGTTTGTGTGCTGGGAGTACCTCTTGTTTTTCCTGCAAACTCTTGACCTATAGCTGTAGACACTTCCTTCAAATCCCTCAGCTTCTGCAGCTTGGGGCTGATGCACAGCAGTGAGGGACGCAGGAGCTGTGTGGACATAAAACTGATTTGTTTCTATGGAAACAAGTAGATTTTGCCATGTTGTAGGGAAGTAGGAGGGGAATTATCCCCCTGGGCCTGGTTCTGGCTCTCAGATTGGATTGGTTGCTGCACTGCAATTGTAGAGCAGCAGCCCTTGAAGGGATTATCTATCTAGTCAGTGATCACAACTAGGGAGAGAAGCACGTGGATCCAATCTGCTCCCATTGCAGGCCACCTCAGCAGGGATGACACAAGGCACTGTCGTATGCCAGGATTCCCAGGGTCACAGCCCTCCGTGGCACTTAAAAGCAAAGAATTTAGCCTTGGTCACTCATAGCCAGAAAGGAGGCCTGCATTACAGTACAGGCAGCTGTGACTGTATCCTGCCCAGGATGGCTAAGGTGATGAATGGTGCTCATACTTTTGCCTAGAAAAAGGTGTGCTAGAGCTGAGAACTTTGTGGTGTCTGCAAGGACTGGGGGAAGCTGAGATCTTTCAGATGGGCTTCAGGTGTTGCTTGCTGATGAAATTGTGTGCATTGCTTTCAGAAAGTCCCAGCACCTGAAGTCCTGTGACTGAGGGTGATGATTTTAAAAGCTTTTTTCTAAAAGGAAAGTTAATCTCATGATACCAGAGCAGGAATCAAAGCACGGCTATAAACCTCGATCAACAGATTCAAGTAAGAACAGTACTTAGTAAAACCGATATTCCTAGTGGTCTGTATACTGAGTCTGTTTGAATGGACCCTGTGTCCTTGTGCAAGGTTCTAGTGCTGATCCTTCAAAAGGGGCTGACCAACACCTGTATTTCAGACTCTCATGTCCTAAAGGTACGTGCCCATCTAGGCCCCAGCAATGACCCTGAGAGGGAAAGCTTAGAGTTCTAGATAGGAAGAAAGCAGACCGTGGGAAACTGGCAAAAATGGTGATGCCTGTGTGTGTGAGCCTGTTCCCAAGGTATTCCCTTGTCTGTTCTCTTCCTCCCCTCCTACAAATGTAGCACAGGAGCTGTGCAGCCTTCTCTAATGGAGAGAAATTCTGTTTGCTCATCTTCTGTCTCTCCTCACTGTATGTGGGGACTTTAGTACATGTTAAGTAAACTGAGTTAGGGATGGAGTGCAGCTCCACCAGAAAGTCTTGCTTTATGCTGTAACACAGCCGGTGAGTTGATTGGATGTGGTAAACCTTGGTTATGAGTTTGCAGGGGTGCATCAGAAGAATGGAGCAACATCTCTGCCTTACTTTCAGGTAATCTAAAAATATATATAGCGTACCTGGAAAGTCAGGCCAGATCCTGCTGTAAGGTCTACCAAGCATAAAGCTAGGGTATGCTGGCTTCCTTATAATCAGCGTAGACATATAGCAGCAGAAATCCCTGGGGCAAACCCTTGGCTGTGCCAGTTTACTCTGCGGGCTGGCAGGTCCCCAGGCCACTGAATAAAAGTGTAATACCTAAAGTGTAAGAATGCTTCTGCCCTCCTTGGATGTCGCTTGCCCTGTGGAAGCAGCACAGCCATGAAGCTCTGTAGCTCTGCATCAGATTAGCTTGTGCACAGAGGCTCTGGTGCAGCCGTGACTTGGCATAGTGCGTACAGCTGTCTTCCAGATTTTGATGTACCCTGAAGCTAGTGGCGTCTGAAACAGAAAAATCGGCCCAGAGGATTCAAATAAAAATAAACAATAGGAAAACTTTTTTATCTTATCCCACTGCTTCCAGAGACCTGCATAGAGGTATGTGCAGGGGAGGGGCTGAGTGAGATCCAAAAAAGGAGATGTGGAAAGGCTGAATGAGAAAGGCACTGGCTGCACTGACCCTTGGGAACCAGTCTGTGCAGTCAGAGATAAGCCAGGAAAGCAGAATTTAGTGCACTCTGGAAGAGATTTAGTGTGCTCTGGGAAGGGTAGGGGGGAGAGCTGTTTCTAAGCAAGCGTTCATATAAAAATTGCTATGCATTTTCCTTTTTGCTTTAGCAGTGTTTATGAAGGTGCTGCAGGCTGATGTCTGAACATGGCCACTGCAGCTGAAGTATCAGTGATGCAAGAGAACATTGCCCAGGGCCTATCCCTTCTGTAGTTGTCTGAGCCCCCTCAGCCCACACTTGACTCAACAAATGCATTCTGAGCAGGGCAGAGACATTTTGATTAACACTTTTGATGTTCAAGGCATGTGGGTCCTCCCAGAGACCCACAAGAGCTCATAAATATGGCAATGCATTTCAGTAACAAAAGGCTTTATCCTGTTCTTTAGGAAAGATGATCTATGCTCTACCCAAAATTACCAAGAAGGTGACAGGGGGCAGTACTGGAAATGTCACCTCTGTATATCTAGATCAGTGACCAAGTAATTGTGCTGTGTCCCATGACAAGAAGATAAGCCCTATGGCTGAGATGGAAGCTCATTCAGCTGCTGTCTCTCCATGGCACATCGTTTAGTCCCAAATGTCAGTGAAACAAACCCCACCATTATGCTAGTTCACAAGGAACTGGATTTGACTTGCCAAATTTACTGTATGTAGGCTTTCAAACAGCCAGCCATGCAGTTTTCTATGGAGGTGGATTCTCCTGGAGGGAGCAGTCTCCTGAAAGTTTCCTGTCTTTTTGGCAAAGCCTGTGATGTGGGGTCATTATGGTTTTTGAAATGCTGCCTTTTGCAGTAAATGTAGGTTCCTTATGTGGCTTTACTTACTTCATATGTTAACTCCGTGAATACACTACTTCTTGTTTTAAATAAAGTGGGAGCACAGCATGGGAAAAAGATGCAGGACAGCACCAGAACACAAGGCATCCTGGTCAGTTTTAAAAGGGGCAGAGGAAACAAAACAAAGGTGATTCTTGTGGTGAGAATGATGATGTCGGGTTTGGAGTGTGAACATGTAATACAGCCTATTTCTACACTTTTTTTTTTTTCTTACAGTGATTAGCATAGTTGCTGTCTTTTCATGTTTGAAGACCACAGTGCATCAGTCTCTTCCTAAAACCTTAATAAAGGCATCTCAGACAGAATACCCCTCACGCTTGCTGGGGACCTGTGCTGGTATCAACTGCAGTGCTCTGCAAAGGAATAGAAGAACTCAAGGCTGATAGGGGAATAGGAGAAGGAGCAAATTTCAGAAGTCACTTTCTATTTCATTGTCTATCCCCTCTGACTCTTGTTTGCAAATTATCCAGTAGTATGCTATAAACAGGTCCAGCTTATACTAGCATTTGTGCTTTGCACTGCTTGGACAGCACCTGTGAAGTTTGTAAGACAGTCTCTGGGAGCTCAGCTTATGTACAGCAAACTTCCAAACTTGAAAAGAGGTCTGCTTGGCCCTTCTTGGCTAATGATCTGGAGAGCTGTACTGGGGAGAAATGGCTAGGTGTTGGAGATGCTGTTCGAGTGCCAGAACTACTTAAGCATTTTTAAGTGTTCCAAGGCAGCACAATAGTGTTAACCTCCCTTTGTGCTACTGTAAATAGGAACTCAAGGTACAAGGCAGTGGGAAGCCTTCTCTTTAATTTTTTTGTTTCTGCTAACATGTATATTATGATGACACTCGTGAACTATTGCCTGTCTTTATTTTTCACAATTGTATTCTTGAATAATGAATCATTGTGCGCAATAATATTGCCAGTATGCTGGTATGTGGTGTACTTACATATAGAAATAAAGATCTATTGTATCCATTGTGTGACCAGTACCAATTCCACCCTAAGAAATTATATTATACTGAGTGCTTATGGAATTACTCTTTCACAGCGTGTCAAGGCTAGGCGCACTGTTGTGCTGTGGAGATTGGCAGATAAATAACATGTATCCCCTGGCTTAAACTTCTCTGAGTCTAAAAGTGCTAACCTTGATGGAAAAAAATGTGACTACCTAGAAATGAGACTTACTATGTGATTATGAGTCTGTAGCACTGGTGTCCAAGTTCACATGATGTGGCATGAAAGGAAGATGAAAGCTAAGGGCAGAGAAAAACAGTTAGAATAGCAGGTTGATGGGTGCTTCTGTTGATAACGCACCTACTTTTAAATGCTTGTGGTTCATGTTGGCCTGTCTGGCTTTTTTTTGTTTGAGAAGCACTTAGGTTCAGGAAAGATAAGAGCTCATAGAGGCCACAAAGTCAGCAGGCAAGGAAAGTCTAAACCTGTAACGCCGCCCCCTGGGTTTTTTTTTTCAGCAGGAAAGGAAAGTCTAAACCTGTAACGCAGCCCTCTGGTTAACCTACTGGGTGGCAGAGGAATGAACAGATTTGTCCTTGTTTTTGCCCCGTGTCATCTGAGTTACAGAATTGCTTATGAAGGTACTTGCATGTCACTTGAAGGCATCAGACCAGGAGGATGCTCTCAAGGGCAGTTCCTGCATCAGACTTCTATCTTCTGGTAGAACTAGGTGATGTCTGTTACGAAGGAGCACCAGGCTTGAGTTAGTGTCTAAGAAGTGGAAAGCTACTACCATTTCTGAGGTGTTTGTTTTAGCAGTCAATAAGATTAATAGTAAATATTTTGAGGAACCTGGTCTAGCGGAAGGTATCTCTGCCCATGGCAGGGGGGGTGGAACTAGGTGATCTTTAAGGTCCCTTCCAACCCAAACCGTTCTATGATTCTATGATTTTTAGCCTTGCAGATAGCCTGTGGCTGATGTGTTGCATAGGTGTCAGCCTGTGTTTTAAGGATTCCTTTGACACACATGCTGGAGTAAGAATATGTTTGAAAACATAGCCAGATGTGAAATGAAGTGCTGTTTAGAGAGACTTATGAGCTGTTCAGAGAATGCAGCATGTATGAAGATAATATGAATGTTGCCATTCAGTGCAGTGATCGGAAGTCATATATCAAAGGTACTGATACTCCTAGATTGTCTTGGGATTCTTATAATGCATCGTGCCTTGGTGAGCTAATGAACTCTTGATCTGGATGTGTGCGAATGAGGAATGATCAACTATAAGACCTGACAGATGAAATGAAGGTAGTTTGAAGCTTAAGCAGGAGCAGGTCTGAACTGTGTAACCAGACAGTAAAATCCGTAGGGGCAGGAACTGTTTCTTGCTGTGGATTGGCATAGTGCTTTGTGCAGTGCGGTTCTGATTGAATTGCTGTCCCTGGGCACCACTAGAACACAGGAAATAACAAATACTGGGTTTAAACAGAAACAGCCATGTGAAATTGTGGAGGCTGTGTGAATCTTAATTTTCTGAAACTAATATAATCCAAACTGGGGATTAATCACATCCCTTAATACCCTATTTGTCTGTAGATATTTAATAAGAAATCAAATTGAAATTAAATGATCAGATGGTGGTGTTCACTCTTCTGTTCTTTGGAACTACTTTTATGTCTTTGTAAGCTGCTGTTTTGGCTTTTTAGTTGAGGCTTTACCTTCTCTAGTGCATTCTAATCCAAGAATCTCAAAGGACTGACAAACTGCAAGGATGCTGTATTGTTGTATCTAGGCTAGGCCTAAATTTGTATTTCAAAGCCCTCTACAAACAGCTTTGCAAGCCTTCCAGCTTCCATAGAGGGAGGGAAAGTAAGTGGCGATAGAAGCATTTGGTCAGTCCTCCATTTAGAACAAGAGATGGTACCATGGACTCAGTTCTGTTGTTGACTGCTGATGAATTTTGTTGCAACTTCTGTGAAGACTAAAATCATGCATGGAAAAGCTTTGACTCAAAGTCCTTTCAGAAATACAGATTACCAGTGGATGGGGAAGGTGCAAACCCACTTTAATTCTGTGGAACAGAGTAGCTTGTTCACAGGGCTCAATAAACCAGTGGGGAAAAATTAATTTTATAGTCCAGGAGTCCTAGCTGCCTGTCCTGTGAACTGACAGATGTTCTTGGGTTTCCCTGTGTGTGTATCTTTCTGTTCTGAAATTCAGTTCTTTCTGGGTTGAGAGCTGGGCTTGTAAAAGTGCATTTGTAGTGCCACATAAGGGATTGCACTAAGCCTTCTTGTCCGGCCATGTTAAGGTTTCTAGAACATATGAGCTAAAAGAAAGTGTTTCTGTTGGGTCTGTCTCTGAAGATCTGCATGAATGCAGTTGCCTCTCATGGGTGTGCTTATAGCTCGAGTTCAATTTCTTGGTCAGTACAACATAATGATCTTTTGACAAACCTCAGGGGGCCTCTGTTATTAAAGCAATGAGCTGCAAGAAAGTAGACAGCGTCTATATGCAATGCAAAGGAGATGGCCGGAAGAGATGCTTTTCCATGTGAATTTGATGGAAGGAGGGAATGCACAATGCTCATGCTTGCAGTTGGAAGAAGATCCGTTGAGAAGCAGTTGTGGTCTGAGCCAATGTGTAGGGGTGCAGTTAGTATGTTACCTTCCTTCACCGTTAGGAAGATAACGGTTGCCGCTATAGAACGTCACAACTACAAGATCATAGGCGAGTTGGCTGCAAATGCTATATTGCTGGAATTAAATATCAGCTGTTACGGGAATCTCTAAGACATAGAGCACAAACCTAAAACAGTAAGCTAATCCACTTCTAGCAAAGCACAAAGGGACAGACTCGCTCATGCAATCACTTTTCTCTTGTGCTTATCAGGTTTGAGAGCATTTATTCTAACAAAGCATTGAACCAGGCCCGATATGCCTGTAACGATTGCTGAGATGCTGGAAGACTAGTTCCTCCTCCAAAGATCTAGTCATCTCTTGTTTAACAAGACATCAGATTGAGATCAATTGTTTGACCAAAGGAGTAAACAAGTATTTTTTGACTAGCAAATTTTATGTTCTCTAGGAATAAATGTGGCCATACTGCGGAAAACCAGCTTGTGTGAGTCTCCTCTTTTAATGGAGACAGTCACATTTTCTTCAATGTAGTGGCAATGAATAAACATAAGGAACTTGTCTGAAAGTGTCAATGTGTGCCTCTTCAGGAAGTCCCAAACTTTACATATGGGTATGTGTCCTACTTTTTTCTGACTGTATCTATCAACGTGTTCTTGCCTTTCCATACAATATCTGTTGAATGCTACGAGCAGTCTGTCAGTCTCCTGTGTCTTATAAATAGTCTAGGGGAAATGTCTTTGGACCGTGTTACTTTTTAACTTCTAATCTTCTGTACTGTACAAGTCATTAGATGAACTCTGAAATTTGTTTATAGAGCAAACATGCTTTTTGTATTGTTAATAGCACATTTTTGTTCTGAAGGATTCCAAGATACCTAATGCGTGGAGGTTTTTCATATAGAGTGTCTGGCTTTAATTTAAAAAAAAAAAAACTAGTAGGGAAACCCCAAGTCCCCAGTGTCCCAATTATAAATGTGGTGTTGCATGTCATCAAGATTGCCTTAATGTCTTTCTGACATGCTTGGATTTTGTTCGAATGTTATTCCACAGTAACTGCTAGATTGTTTTCCATCCCTCAAATATTTATTTTTACTATTGCATTACTAATGCAGCTTTCAGCCCAAATCTGTACTTTAATGCAGCTCTGCATACTAAAATAGAAATAAGACTGGAAGGGATGATGTGATTGGGTTTGCCCTGAGGTAGCTGGGAAGCTAGTCGAGAACATGTGTAAGCACTTCAGAAGTGAGCAGTGCAAAATATAACAAGAAATGCCTTTTCATGTCACTCCCCTGCCTGAACTTCTGCAGCCTGAGTCTCATCAGAATTTGCATTCTTGGTCCTTTTTGCTGTCTTGGTTTAGAAGAGATCTATCACTGGTCAGACCAAAAATGTATCTAGCTCGATATCCTCCCTCTGACAGTAGTTAATAAAAGATGAGTGTGAAAATATGTATAAATAAGTCTCCCACTAACTGGTGCTTTGGGGAATGTAGCTGATCTGAGCCTAGTTTTCCAACTCTGAAATGCTTGGAACTGCATTACTAGAACTGATACCTCAATATCTTGATAAAGAATTTTAGGTCAATAGCTAAGCAAAAAGTTACAAGCAAATTAAGTATTTATATTCCCTGCATACAGCTTCTCTGTCTGTTTTAGCTGCTACTTTGCTGTGTTTTCTGGATGAAGCCTAGCCTGAAGAAGTGGCACAGTGTGGTATTCCTGCTCAAAAGCATAGGAAATCAAATGTTGTCATGCCAGCTCTGCATGTTATGAACAAAGTAATAAAAAAGTAATTTTCAGTTCTTAAGATACAAAGTGAAGGAGGAAAAGAGGGGATGGTGCTCTCAACCTAATTGAATAATGTATTTCAGGCACGAAGTCTTGTATAGCGATGTATATAATAAGTCTGCTTTTGATGTCATGCTAGAGGCTGCCTTGTCTTGCAAGTGGGATCCCTGCTGCCCTCGTTCCAGCACTCGGAGCCTTACAGCATGTTATCTCTGAAGGCTTACTCCATCTTTCTGTTTGTCCCCCCAGCCTCGCTACCTTATATCTCCTGTGCTGGAATTGAATAAGCCAGTTTATTGAACCCTTCTGCTCTTGTCTGCTCAAGTCATCTGGCATGTGGTTGTTCTTATCTCGCACATCAGTTCCCTGATTCTGACTTAATTTCATCGCTTTGTGCTGCTCTTTCTGGAGCAATAGGGGGGTGTGTGTAGATCTTTCCCCTGGCTCCTTAGTGGACTCAAAACCTGGGCTGGGCATGTTGTCCATGCCAGACATGCTCTGTTGTTGTAGTTTATTTACAGAAGCATTTTATTATGCCTGCTGCAAGAGGGCAGGCAAGACTCTTGTACACTGCCTTCTCCTTGGCTCCCAGCCAGCTTGCTGCAGAATTTACTAATACGTACTTTTTGGTGTCTATGATTTGAAAGGCTTAGCCAGAGCAGGAGGAGGAAGGAGTTTGTTCAAGAGACCGGAGAGAAAGGAGGTCAATAAGAGAATTGGAAATAATATAGATACAATGGGGTGATACTGTATCAATTGTTTTTTTTTAATAAAGCTTTTTGGCTGTAACTCCTGATAGGAGTCAAATGTAGAGAAAACTTTAGAAGTTGAACTTCATGTGCACCCCAATAGTATGTGGATAAGAACACACATTCATTTTCTGATATTGGGTATCAGATTGCACATATTTTCACTCAGAATTAAAGTGGCAGTAAGATTCTTAATTTAGGTGACTAGATTTGGCTGATGGATTTGTTATCTTGTCTTCTATGAGGACTTAGTGTTTTTTCCTTAGAATAGTCTGGGAGCTACTCAGTTAACACAGTAAATTGGATCTTTTTTTTTTTAATGCTGGAACCCAGATGCCACATAGGTTTTCCGTCTACCTTTGTCCTGAGGTTTTGCCTTTGTAGCTGTGACAAGGACAGCAGAGAAATAAAGATCTTGGCCAAAGCAGAAAGCTTCAGGAAAACACAGAACATAAGTGGAATCTTAATTCCTAGAGGGCTTGTTCTTGTAAAGGCAAGTGGTGCTTTTCCTACACTAAAGCAGGACTTGATACTGCAAGTTGGAGATCAATAGCTAGAGTATTGTCTCAGTGTGCTAGAAAGGGAATCTATAATAATAGGATACCTTTGTCAGGTACAGCAAGTTCAAAATAAGTCAGTGCAGCTCAGATGGATTTGTTACTCTAAAAACTGATGCTGGGGTAGGACTTTTTCACGTGTTGACCACAGACATCTATAGGAATGAAGCTGAGACAGCAGAAAGCTGCTAGAATGATGCAATGCCTCAAAGATTCCAGGGTTAATCCCACTGGAATGGAAAAACTAGAGCTGTATTATTTGAAAAACAAGTGAAAGACAAACCCTGGTTAACTCCTTATACTTCTGAGAAGTCTGAAATAATGAGAATGGGTTATGGTCTTATTAGAATCATAGAATTGTTTAGGTTGGAAAAGACCTTTAAGATCATCAAGTCTAACTGTTAACCCAGCACTGCTAACTCCAGCACTAAACCATGTCCCTAAGCACCACATCTACAAATCTTTTAAATACCCCAGGGGTGGGGACCCAACCACTTCCCTGGGCAGCCTGTTCCAATGCTTGACAACCCTTTTGTGAAGAAATTTTTCCTAATATCCAATCTAAACCTCCCCTGGTGCAGCTTGAGGCCACTTATTCTCATTCTATCACTTCTTACTTGGGAGAAGAGACCGACCCCCACCTTGCTACAGCCTCCTTTCAGGCACTTGTAGAGAACGATGAGGTCTCCCCTGAGCCTCTTCTCCAGGCTAAACAACCCCAGCTCCATCAGCTGCTCCTCTTGAAACTTGTGCTCCAGACCCTTCACCAGCTTTGTTGCCCTTCTCTGGCCACACTCCAGCACCTCAGTGTCCTTCTTGTAGTGAGGGGCCCAAAACTGAACACAGGATTTGAGGTGTGGCCTTACCAGTGCCAAGTACAGAGGGACAATCCCTTCCCTAGTTCTGCTGGCCACACTTACTGATACAAGCCAGGATGCTATTGGCTTCCTTGACCACCTGGGCACACTGCTGGCTCACATTCAGCCAGCTGTTGACCAGCACCCCCAGGTCCTTTTCTGCCAGGCAGCTTTCCAGCCACTCCTCCCCAAGCCTGTAACGTTGCATGGGGTTGTTGTGACCCAAGCGCAGGACCCGGCACTGAGCCTTGTTGAACCCTGTACAGTTGGCCTGGGCCCATCAATCCAGCCTGTCCAGGTCCCTCTGCAGAGCCTTCCTACCCTCCAGCAGATCAACACTCCTGCCCAACTTGGTGCTGCCTGCAAACTGACTGAGGGTGCACTTGATCCCCTTGTCCAGATCGTTGCCAAAGATATTAAAACAGAACTGGCCCCAATACTGAGCCCTGGGGAACAACACTTGTGATGGCTGCCAACTGGATTAACTCCATTCACTACAACTCTTTGGGCCCAGCCATCCAGCCAGTTTTTTACCCAGCAAAGAGTATGCCCGTCCAAGCCACGAGCAGCCAGCTTCCCAGAAGAATGCTGTGGGAAACTGTGTCAAAAGCCTTACTAAAGTCCAGGTAGACAACATCCACAGCCTTTCCCTTATCCACTAAGCGGGTCACCTTGTCATAGAAGGAGATCAGGTTAGTCAAGCAGGACCTGCCTTCCATAAACCTGTGCTGACTGGGCCTGATCACCTGCTTGTCCTGTACATGTGGTGGCACTCAAGATGATCTGCTCCATAACCTCCTCCAGCACTGAGGTCAGGCTGAGAGGCCTGTAGTTCCCTGATATTTCTCCTGGCCCTTCTTGTAGCTGGGTGTCACATTTGCTAACCTCCAGTCAACTGGGACCTCCCTGGTTAGCCAGGACTGCTGATAAATGATTGAAAGTGGCTTGGTGAGCCCTTCTGCCAGCTCCCTCAGTGCCCTTGGGTGGATCCTATCTGTCCTCATAGACTTGGAGTAGTAACTGGTAGAGTTGTACCAGAGGTCCCATTACTCCAGACTTAAACTTACAGGAGATATTTTTATTTGAGGTGTTAGACTGTAGGATGCCTTCTTACTGTCCCTTCACCTGAAACTACTCTGCAGTTTTTTTAATATTACCAAGTTATTCTGACAGCCCACAGATGGGGAGTTACTCTTATAGCTGAGAAAAGAGAAACACAGAGAAGTAGAAGGAATTGCGTAGGATTACATAGGAAATCGGTGGCCAAACCAGGAGCTGAAACAAAGCTGCTCAAGTCCTTGTCTGATGTGTTAAAACAACAGCTCGTTCCTCGTCTTCGCTTCCTTTGTCAGTGTTAAGCTCATGCAGGACTAAGAGCAGATGCTAAAAATGGAGGGCCCTGGATTTCTCATTCACCAGAGTAGTTAAAATCACTACTGAATTAGCAAAATTATTCATTGTTGCGGCTATCAAGGGAGGGAGGATTGTGTGCCAGAATCCAAGTAATGTAGGTAGGGCTTCTTTTTAACAAAGAAAACTATATTCATGCTGTAGGAACCATGTTTTGAAGTGATGCTTCTCCTACTAGGTAAGGAAGCAAATGATAATATTTTCAGAAATGCTCAGTGGCTCTTGAGGAGCCACATGAACAGCTGAGTACTTGAAAACCAGGCCACACACTAGCAAGGTCATTGGCAGATGCAATGAGCATGCTTAGGTTTGCTCAAAGCACTTGGATTTGGAAAAAAAGAAAAATCAAAGGAGAGCTTGTGGGCTGTGGCTGCTAAGTCAGCATTTAGAGAAGGATAGTGAAATGCTTCCTTCCTTTGAAGTGATTTGAAGTACACAAAAATTCAGGGTTCTTGTGGATATAGAAGGAAGCTGTTGCTGCTTTTGCCTTGGCAATACTTAATGTCTTGAGTAGTTAGCCAGGAGAAACCCTGGGTGGAGGCAAGCCTTTGGCTGCTGTTTAATTTTTCAGATATATCATATGGTGTTTGCATGCTGGAACAATGTGGTGGCTTCTCAAGCCCCAAAGTGCAGGGTGTGAGTGATTTTGTTGTAGTTCGGGTAGTTGTATTTTGTCAAAAGGAGACACACTAGTTTTTGGGCTCTGCTTCAATTTCCCTCCTCTTTCTGATGAAAGAGATTAATTTTTTCCAGAGTACAGACAGCTGTATTAAATGGGCTTGTTAGTTAGCTTGGAACATGAGCTGAAGGAGCTGTAGTTGTTACAGAGAGGATTAGAGGGGATGTGCTGCGAGTGTAGACCTCTTCAGAACACCACGCTCTTATCCTCCTTGAGAAGGAGTGCTTGGTTTTTAGTGCCTTAAACTTTTTTGTGCCCATGGCTGAGGCTCCTTGTTAGAATCCGTGAATGCTTATAGAAGCAGAAGAGCTGTGAAAAGGGAAGGAAACAATCATTCGCTCATCTGAAACTTCCTGTTTCATTTCAGGGACTTTCTGCCACGTGGATCTGGCATCGTAACCAGACGCCCGCTGGTCCTGCAGCTGGTAAACTCCAGCACAGGTATGTGAGCTACTTTCCCTGTGTGTCCAGCTGGATCACTGTCTTAGTCAAGAAAGGTCTTATTTCACCAGTGGCACTGCTCAGCGTGGAAAAGATAAATAAGAATTTTCCCCAGTAAAAATGCCCTGCAGTTGGTTTTCAGTTCTACTTGTTTAACATCTGATGCATTAAGTGTTCAGAAGCAAAATGCTTCTTAGTTATTTTGTTTTAATTTATTAGGCAAGGCTCCATGCATACACTTATCACAATTTTCCTTTGCCTATGCAGCTTTGACTCTTATGAGTGGGTAAGACCTTAAAAGCCAGATGACCCTGCTGATAATCTACTGAAATAAGGGGGTGAGATGATTTAATGTACTGAAAAACCAGTGTGAGAACCCTGGGATCTGGAGAAGAAAGACTAGAGTTCTGTGGCTGGTCTTTTGGGCAGTTCACTGGTTTTGCTGCTTGCTTACAGGATATTTTCATTACCATTCCCTTTAACATAAGATAAGATCTCATCCAGAAGTTGGCAAGTGAATGTTTCAAGGTGTTCTGCCTCTCTTGTCAGGTGAACTTGATCTATACACGGCAGTCCTCTTGTCTACAGTAAGGAGACAAATTTGACTTTTAGGAGGCTTTTAAAATTGAAACAGAGGGTTCTTGGATTGGTTAGCCTATTCAAGGACTGACACAAAAAACCCCAGCCATCAGCTGACTCAAACAATGTCAAGAGAAGGGGTTTTTTTTTGGCTCTCAGACTCTCTTGAGTCTGTTCTCGTTATGTGATGAGACTGTTATTTACCCCCAACACTTTAATACAAAGCTAGTCCAAGTTCTCCTGAGTACAAGGTATCTCGCGGTGTAGCTGTGGAAGTCACCACTGCTGCAGGCAGATGCACGCTAAGCTTGCTTAGTATCAACAGAGAAGGTCCTGGATTATTGCTTGAATGAAGACAAGCGAGGGTGCTACCTCTGCTGAGATAAAAGCTGGATTGCAAAGATGTTGGGCTCAATTGAATTCTCTCAGACGTTGATCAGATAGTGTGACTGCAGTAACTTCTATGCCAACCTGCCAGGTCCTAGTGGGAAAGGCCCTTTCCAGACTTCATTCCTACAGTTGTTTCTTGTTTTGTTTTGCTTCAGGACATGATGTTTTCATTGCGCTTTGAGTATTTCTCTGATTTTAGTGACTACTTCTGACTCTCTGCTTCTGTTTAAATAGAATATGGTGAGTTCCTACACTGCAAAGGAAAGAAATTCACTGATTTTGAGGAGGTCCGTCTGGAGATTGAGGCTGAAACGGATCGTGTTACTGGCTCCAACAAAGGGATTTCCCCAGTGCCCATCAATCTTCGAGTCTACTCTCCCCATGGTGAGTCCTAATGCAGAATCTGAGTCAGGAGATAAGTGAGGCAGGCTGTTGCTTTGTCATGAAGTAAAGGCAGAAAGAACAGAGATGAAATGGGGAATGTGCTTGGTTTTGACTTTAATCTCCATGTGCCTGGGTTGTGCTGTATCAAACTGCCAGCCTTAGCCATACTGCTAAAATGGGTTTGTCTGCCAGCTGACGTATCTGACTGCTAGCAGACCTTCTCCTTGAAACAACTGATGTTTGTGCAGAAACTTGTTCCTGAGGCTGTTCCTTTCCATCAGCATGGGCCTTACAGTGAAGAGCTGCTGTCTGTCCCTGCGTTCCGATACTGCTTTACTGGACAAATAAATGGAACAAAAAAAAAAAAAAATTGATGGAGAGAGTGGTTTTCTTGAAGAACACTTGCCTTCTTTTTGCATGTAAATATGTACTTTGCATGGTTCTCTCCGGATGGTGCCTATGTCATCTGCCGCTGATCTCAGTGGAAGAATTCTGCTTAAACAAGGGAGTGCCATGGTCTCAAATTTGCCAGCTCTTTGAATGTGAACATCTGTGCGGGCATTTTTTTGGGAAGCGGCAGCTCAGTGCTACATAGCATTTGGCTGGCTAGAACTTGTGCTTGATTTTTAGTTTTCATTTTTTCTCTTAGCAAGACAATTAAATGGTTATAGGGCTGCCTGTTGTAGTCCTTCAGGAGAAGGCCCAGCTGAATTTGACAGGAGCCTCCCTTGAATAAGGGTGGTAGGACTGAGCCCTTCAATACCAGGGACAACTCTTAATGAGTGGAACCAACTCTTCTGACTCTCCAGTCTTTGTCATGAAGTGAAAAAATGTACTGTCATGCCTTCCCCTTCAGTGTAGCCTACGTGGAAGGACTTTGAGGGCAGTTTCCCTGATCAGTGTGAAAACAAGTGATTTTTAAAGGGAAGGGTAATGACATAGTTGACAGTCATGACTAGTAACAACTAGCAACTAGTCCCTACTAAGCAGTAACAAAAAGGAACTGAAGCTCTGTGTGCTTCTGTGTGTGCATCTGTTATGCCTATTACATATTGGAGGCAATAAAGCTACAGGTACTTCTCATAGATCAGAACATTCCTACCTGAACACTCCCTTGTGTCATCTCCTGTTTCCTGTGTCTAGTCCTGAACCTGACCTTGGTGGATCTACCGGGTATGACAAAAGTCCCAGTAGGGGACCAGCCCCCTGACATCGAGTTTCAGATCCGAGATATGCTCATGCAGTTTGTCACCAAAGAGAATTGCCTCATCCTGGCAGTATCCCCAGCCAACTCCGATTTGGCCAATTCTGATGCCCTGAAGATTGCGAAGGAGGTGGATCCTCAAGGTAAATTATCTCCTAATTTAGCATGACATTACTAGATGACTTTACTAGACAGTGACCTGATTTTCTTTTTACACTTTGGTTGTGATTGGCCCAGTAGCTGTGGGCTCCTGTCTGTTGTCTTGGGTTGTATCTTCACCAACACGCATTCTTCTGAGAGGTGTCTGTGAGTGTTAACAGCTACTGTAATAGAATTTCTGTTATTCCCCTTTTCTTCCTTTGTCTGAGCCCATTTCTGAAGAGGTGTAGGATTTCCTTTCCTTTAATCATTTGCATTCTGCCTGGAGAAAAGTAGGAAAATATGCACTAAAATCCCTCTCTACTGTGTCATAACATGTGCACGTTTCAGCAGGATATAACTGAGAACTGAGCTCGATTATTGTCTGTTTTGCTCTCGTGCCCTCTTGGACATGATGGGAACTGTAATGTTTGAGTTCGAGCCCTTGAGTAGCCAAGCTGGGCAATCTGTAAGCTCTGTGAACAGAGGAAAATATTACATGAGTTGTTTTCTTGATCAAGTGTGCTTGTTTTTTCCATAGGGCAACGCACTATTGGAGTCATCACTAAGCTGGATCTTATGGATGAAGGAACTGATGCACGAGATGTATTAGAAAATAAATTACTTCCTCTTCGCAGAGGTATGTGTCCTCATGCTTTGTCTCCTTCCTCTGTTTTCTCTATGTGAGGTATTCCTGGCCTCATCCCCTTCCTCCAGTGCATCCCCTTCCTGGAACATGTGTTATGACTTGTGGTTAAGCTATCTCTGTTCCAAGCTGAAACTAAGAAAAGTTGGGGAAGAGGGATGAGTCACGCTGTTAACAGGAACTTTTTAGATATTTCTATCTTGATACGTAGTCCTAGCAGAAGCATAGCCTTATGCTCTTATCTTTACTTTATCTTTCCTTACTACTTTTAATAAGGCAAGACGCAAAAATGGAACTCCTGTCTAAGACTGCTCATCTTCTATCTAGTTGAGATTGCCGTAGTATATCAGATGAAATAATTTTGGGCTGTGATACATGCTGTGTATAGCCATAACAAAGTACCTGTCCTAAGGACTTTAACAGAAAAGTCTCAAATGAATGTGACCAGGGTAGGCTTTGTGATTGGGGGAACAGCAATAAATAAGCTAATTCTCAGTTGCATAGTCGTTTTTGTCCTGCATACCAAAATACCAAAACCTGGGCAATTCAGAGGAAATTCTAGTTTTAAACTCTTCTAATTGGTTCCTAATAATGTGTTGCCACTAGAATTCCCCTTTTGCAATGCTGCTAGCTGGATAACTTCCTTTTCAGTCTGAATCCTGTTTATGTTCTCATCCTTGCAACCACTTGATTTGTCACCCCACTCTTACAGGTTACATTGGTGTAGTCAACAGGAGTCAGAAGGACATTGATGGCAAGAAGGACATTCAGGCAGCTCTGGCTGCAGAGAGAAAATTTTTTCTCTCCCACCCAGCCTACAGACACATGGCTGATCGCATGGGAACCCCCTACCTGCAGAAAGTATTGAACCAGGTACTGTCAACAGTTAAGAATTGCTGCCCACTATGTCACAAGAATGGCTAGGCTGGCCATCAGGCCTCTTCTGAGATGGAAGAATACAGGAAAAGCCAAAACTTGTGGTCAACAAACTGATAAATACTTGAAATTGTTTTGCTACAGTGAGACTTGTAAAGATTGGTTAATTGTTCCTTTTCTGCATCATAAAAGGCATTTTGGTGCCAGGTCCTATGAAGTGTGCCTGACTTGTTTCACTCTATCAGTATGATACATTAAGGCCAATAATGGAGCTTACACAGCAAAGGCGGAACACTGCTTTATCCTCTCAGTGACACTGGTACAAAATCAATAGTTGGTTCATGGCGTTTACACTATCAGAATGCAAGGTCTTTCTGGTTAAGCTAAAAGATACCTTCTAAATTTCTAGTGGTCTCTGTATCTAACAGTAAGCTGCAAAGATTGAGTTAAATGTGATACTGGTAGTCATTTTCCCATCTATTAAGTCTGATCTCCTGTATCATACAGTAGCAAATTACTGTTGCTTCCCTCTGCTCCCTTGAAATACTTCCTTAAGTGAAGAACTACTTTGTTCTTTTTCCTCCTTATTTAAATATTTGTCTTTAAACTGGAGTTATCCACAGCTGAGCTCTGTGGAAACCCTCTTATTAGAGCCTCATCAGTGGTTTTGGCTCCTTCCACCTTGCCTTGTTGAAAAAGGGCTTCACGACCACCTTGGATGCCAGTGGTATGCTAATCTGAAGACAGAATAGCCTCTACTCTGGTGTAAATAGCAAATTCTAGTACTCATATGTGAAGCTTATTCTTGGATTGGAGACAGCAGGCTTGTATGAATGGGAGTTTTGTAGCAGACTAGAAGGGTAAAATGAAGGTCAAGAATAGAGGGGTGAAATAGGTAGGAGTTGGGGAGGCAGGATACACCCAGATCATAACTGGTATCTGTCCTGGGATAGACTTTTTATTAGGACCTCTCAGAAGGACTGAACACAGACAAGAGGAGCATTCCTCTTTATTTTGTGGTGTGGAGGTAGCAGGCTCTTCCCAGTAACCACCTAGAGGTTTATTGCCATCTTAAACCTTTTTCTTGTGCAGCAATTGACCAACCACATCCGTGACACCCTGCCAGGGCTGCGGAACAAGCTACAAAGCCAGCTTCTCTCTATTGAGAAGGAGGTGGAGGAGTACAAGAATTTTCGCCCTGATGACCCTGCTCGCAAGACCAAAGCTCTGCTTCAGTAAGTGGCCTCAGCTGCATGTCCCTCCCTGGAGATGGCTGCTCAGCCACGACTTCTACTTCATGCTTCTTGTTTTCTTTCAGGATGGTCCAGCAGTTTGCTGTGGACTTTGAGAAACGCATTGAAGGCTCTGGAGACCAAATTGATACCTATGAGCTGTCAGGAGGAGCTAGGATTAACCGCATCTTCCATGAGCGTTTTCCCTTTGAACTTGTGAAGGTACTGCTTCCCTGTGCTGCAGAGACCCATTTTGTCTGCTTGCCTGTTGTCTGTTACCTCTTCTTGTCTCTTTACTCCTCTTGGTATCTTTCATCTGTCTTTCCTTTTGACTACTTTGTTTCATGTTTTTTTCTTTTATCACCTTTTTTACTTCCTGTTGTCTCCTTTATTGGAGCCTTCCCAGAGTACTGACCTTTCCGTCAGTCCCTGTCCTTGTGACAGAACTTAACTTTCTCTTAGTTAAATGTCTGTTTCTTTGGCTTAATTCCTAAATGCTAAATTAAATTTGCAAAATAACTTCCTTTAACACAGACAATAGTAAATCAATGACTGAATGTCCTTGCAGATATGTTGTGTCAAAGCTACTTTGACTGAATTTCATGTAGTAAAAATGGTGCTGAAACTTGTACTTCCTTGATCTTGAGCACCAGACTAGACCTAAAGTTGCCCTAATGGATATGCAAGAAGCAGGAAAGAGGATGTAGATATACCTGGGATTACTTCTGTCTATCCTCTATCAATGGTCTAGTTGTGGGAACAGTGTAGAAACTGTTCTATTGTCATAATAGTTGAAGAGGATTTTTTTAATGTCAGTTTGAACAGACTTGAGAGCCAAATTATTCCACTCCTGGGTTTTCTGCATTTTGTTTCCTATTTTTTTTATTTGAATAAGATGAGGCCTTTTTAGTGAGATACAAGAGCCTGTCTTGTATTGGATAATACATCTTTGTATGTGAATTGTAAATCTATTTGTGGTGTTCACTGAAAAAACAGCTGCCAAGACCTCATGCTAAATCTTGGGAGACAAAACAGTTTGTTTTAGAAAGCAATCCAGTGCTTCAATCCTATTGCTTTATCTCTAAGAAGCTCCTTGGGAGCTGCTGGGGCTTGGCATCTGTAAAAGTAGGCCCTTAGCTATTTGTTTCCATCCAGGATGTCTGCATTGGCAACAGAAGCTTTATGGCTGGACTCTGTATCCAAAACTTGGGCTAATATCTCATCTGTCACATGATAGTGCTGGCATGGGACCTCTTCTCTGTAAAGCATGCTGTTGTGTATCCTGGGGTTGCGCAAATAAGTGTCAGACAGTTTCTGATAAAATTCTCTCTTGGTGCAGATGGAGTTTGATGAGAAGGAGCTGCGACGGGAGATTAGCTATGCCATCAAGAACATCCATGGTATCAGGCACGTATCACGCGCTAGGCAGACCATTGGCTGCATAGCCTTGTAAATACCTCTAGACCTTCCGAATGGAATTGAAGACTTCAGAGGTATGGTAGGTCAGCCAAAGGGGAGGGATAACCTCCTTGGACCACCCTGGTGGTTGAATCTGGGAGTAGGGACAATCCAAGTCAGCTTGCTTTGTTTTCCTATGTGAGAGTCTTGGAAGCCTAAAAGGTAAAACTGCCTTGGTGACTAGACATTCTCTCCTTCCCTCTAGTGTCTTGACATAAGAAAGAAAGGATAGAAAGAGGGATGCGAGCCCATACCACTGCTTCATTTAGTTTTAAACATTGGTTTTCACTTTCTGCCTCCATACTAACCAAAAGTTAGTTGTTCAAAATGCTTGTTGGGGCTGAGCACCCCCTCCCCTAGAGATCTGAGGGAGCATTGGGGTGCCCATCACTGGGATCCCAATGGCTCCAGGACGTAGTTAGCCAGCACACTTGTGTTGCCCTCAGCGGAGGTTAGCTGTCAAAAAGCACTGCCTTGAGTCGTGCTGCTCCTGGCAAGGTGACCTGGTGCCTGTCAGAGCCCTTCCTGCACACTGGGATGTGAACAAATGCTGACCCAGATTTATTTTCTTTTGCTCAGCCACTAGCTGAGCTTGATAAAGGGTATCAAATGTGTTAGTGTCCTAATCATTAAGAAAATCTTTCAGAAAAGGCCTCCCAACTGCTGTACAACTCTGAGGTCAAATGTGCTGCAGAGGGGTCAGCCCCTGCCACCCTTAGGCCTGGTGGCTGAGGTGAAATGGCGGCCTGGCCGTGGCTGTCCATCTGGGATCCATTTTGCCCTCAGCACCTCCTTCCTGGGAGGTGCCAAGCATCCCCCATTTTCCATAGACTCTAGTCAGGGCTTGTCTGGGGGACATGACACTCTCCAGCCCCACGTGCCGGGTTTCAGTGATGGCGGTGCCTGCTCCAAGATGTGTGTGTAATGCTGTGACATTCTCCTTGCCCCTTCTCCCCCTCCTGCCTTGTCTTGTCCCCACCCTGGGTGTTTAGAACCGGTCTCTTCACACCCGACATGGCCTTTGAGACCATTGTGAAAAAGCAGGTGAAGAAGATTAAAGAACCTTGCCTGAAATGCGTGGACATGGTCATTTCGGAGTTAATCAATACCGTTAGACAGTGCACCAAGAAGGTAACCAGAGGCAGCATGGAGCTGGCACTTTCCTCTGCTCGCTGGCTGCAGCACAGCACTGTGACCTGGGCAGGGACTTGCCTGCAGCCACACTTGGTGTTTCTAACCACCTCCTCAGCATGACTAAACCTGAGCGGTACCGGCCCAGGGCGATCCAGCCAACAAGCCAAACAGGAGGGGACGCGGTGTGGGACATGGGCCGTGGCCCTGCTCCCTAAATGTTTTAGAGCTGAGGGGTGCTGGAGATATCCCTGCTACCCCTCTGTCTGTAGCATGACTCCTGATGCCTTCCGAAACCAAGGGTGTTTCTTATATGGCTGCATTTTAAATTTAGTTAAAATAATCTGGGATTATTTTCCAAGCCAGAAACTGGGATTTAAATTTTGTCCCCTCTGTACTTGTAGAAGTGAGAGGGTTAATCCCAAACTAGCCTTTAGGTGCTGCTGGGGGGTGTATGGGGCTGAACTTCAGAGGCTGCAGCAGTTACGGCTGTGGGCTGTATTGCAGGGAAATGTTCCTGTGGTGTTTGGCTTGGTTTCTGGTTGGCTTGGTCCATATCCTGTTCTGGAAGAGCAGCACATGGCTGAGAAGAAGCAAGTTAGAAATGTCCATTGACCTCTGGGGTCCTTCTGCTCTCTCTGAGAGAGAGAAAGGGCTTCAGGTTTTGCCCTTTGGGATCCATGCTGGTAGTTGTTGGGGCTGAGGGAGGGAACCTGCCTTGATTCTGCCCTTTGGATATGGCAGCTTTTGTTTCTGAGGTTGGGGCTGAAAGGCAGCAAGGTAAGAACCCTTGTGCCATTCCTCTCAGCCATGGCTTGCTGCTTCAGGCAGGGCTAGGTGCTGGTGCAAAGGCACCTCGGTTAGGATGGCGGTATGGGCACCGGAGACTGGAGTCGCCACTGGCTATTCAGGTGCAGGTAAATGGGCATTGCAGGAGGGGTGTGGAGAGTCTGACACCCTGTCTCTGCAAGGGTGGGGAAAGGTGCCCAAGTGGTGATACTTGCCATTGCTTGCAGAAATGCCTAGTCCTTAGGGCCAAGAGCCTCTGTAGAAGGGCTCAGGCATGCAGGCACATGCTTTGCCCCCCAGGACAGACTGGGAAAGCAAAGTGGATGCAGTGAGAGGTTGCTCAGGTTTCTAGAGTGCTGGAGGAGCTTCCTTTTTCTGTCCTGCTGTCCTCTCTTGGGGTGTGTGACTGTGGGGAGCACCCAGAAAATTGCCATTAGAGCCTGATGACAGGTAAGCACAGGCCCTCAGGCTGCCAAGTATCCAGAGTCGCCTGCTCACTGGATCAGAAGGGCCCTCCTTTTTCGTGCCCTCTGAAGCTTCTCTTGATTTGTTCTCCATCCATCAGTTGCTATTAAAAATCTCCCATTCATTCTCTCTCCTTGCATCCTTCCCTCCATTTCCCACCTCTTTGTTCACTGTTTTCTTTTTGTTTCTTCTTTTACTGACAATTTCAGAATAGACCATCTGCTCTGACAGCAGCAGGTTCCTCAAGTGATCAGCTGGTGGGTACAGCAGGGTGGGAAATAAAGAAGAGACCACAGGGATGGGGGGAAATGTCACAGATTCAGGATTAAAGCATTCTATTTTAGGTTAGATCCCACTGATAAGAATTTTATGGTTGACTTCAGTGCTAGTTGCTCTGTGTGCTCTAGTAGTCATGGTTACAATTTTGTATCTGAAGGAACAAAATATTGTCATTCAGGTGATATTCAGGTACTGGAAGGGACTGGCTTTTTAAATATTTTTTTTGTGCAGGGCCCCTCAAGTCTGGTGGGGGAAACGGTGTATATTGAGCTTAGCAGGGCAACTGGATTAGTTGGAAACTGCTGCCGAGTCAGAGGATGTGAACTTAACTCTGGAAATGCCCTTGCTTTGCTCAAAAGGGGCTTTGTTGGCACCTTGATGAGGACCCTTGGGTGAAGCTGAATCCTGTAACGTATTCCAACTCTTTGCTGCTTAAAAGGCAAACTAGCTGTAGGTCCTATAATGTGTTGAAGAGCATTTTAATACTGGTGTTGCTTGGGGTCTTGCAGGTGTTATCCACAGATGTGAAAGATGAGGTGATGGGAAATATCTGATTTAAATGAAGTGGGTGGTTATTTATAGCTAGCCCTGGATTGGTTGTCAGCTGTGCGTGCCCCAGGTTTGACCGTTAACTGTTCCTTTAGAAAGGCAGTATCCCCTTCCTGTGTCAAAGGGACATTGTCCTCTTGAAAGCACTTGCAAAGCAGTAATACCCCATGCTAAAACAAGTAGCTCAGACTGTGTAACAAGGAGCATCCTGGTAGAAGCTCTGAAGTCTTTGTGCTGAAAAACTTCTTTGGGTGCAGCGGTCTTGAATTGGATTCATCTTGGCCATATTTAGTAACTTCAGCTTCTGTGGACTTTCTGCTCTGTTGTAGTGGAGCCACTGAGAATACAGGACACTTAGCATCTGTGGAAGTTAATACTTCCTTACAAACCTCAGCAGTGCTGTATTGGGTCTGATGCTACAGGTTAGCTGGGGCAGAACAGATGCTTTGTATAGCTATGGATGCCCTGTAGCATGTTTGCATTTTCCTAAATACTGAGTACATCTGTTCTTACTGAGGAAGTTAATGTTGCAGGGAAGGTGAGTGAGATGAAATATGCTCCGTAAGTGGAGCAGTTTGTCCGAATCCCTGAAACTGAGAGACGTCGATTCAGTTCAGTTCTGCCGAAACAAGATGCAAGTGACAGACCTTTGCAAGTCTTAGCTTGGCTCCTGTTCAGGCTTCCTGCAGCTGGAATAAGGAAAACATGAAGGGGAGATAACTGTGGTGGGAGGGGAAGGAAAGGTGAATGCCTGAGACAAAGGGAAATGAGACATGGTGAGCCTCTAGGAAGAGAGGCAGTGGCTCACTGTGGCAAGCAGCTTTGTCTTAAAATCCAAAGAAGCTTTCCTTTAGGAAGAGGTCACTTGATCCCTGGGGGGGTTCCATCCATTCATCTTGCTCTTGACAGCTCACCATTTCACTGGCCCAGCTGCTCCTACCTCATTCCCCTTTGCCACTTCCATTTGCCTGTAGACTCTCCTGATACTTGGCAGTGCACAGGCCCCATAGCAATGCTCACCTGGTTCAATAAACTAATGGAATGAACCAAAATCTCACTTCTCATTTTTGCCTTGTGTTTTCTCTCTTCTCCCCTTTCCTTCCTTCTCTTTCCTCCTCCTTCCTGCTCTTTCTCTGCTTTGCTTTCTTCTTCCTCGTTGCTTCCTCCCACCCTGCCCCTGCCATGCAGAACGGGTCTCTTCACGCCTGACCTCGCTTTTGAAGCCATAGTGAAAAAGCAGGTGCAGAAGTTGAAGGAGCCGAGTCTGAAGTGTGTGGATATGGTAGTGAGTGAGCTCACATCCACCATCAGAAAGTGTAGCGAAAAGGTAAAGAAACAAAAAATGCAAAGAAAGGTCAATGCCCACCCCCTTCCCACACACTTCCATGCTGTTTCTCCACACAAATGCCAGGAACTCCAGCAAACCTAGTGAGAGAAAATGGATATAAAGATGCATCTAAAGGAGAGCAGCAACCTGCAGGTATAAGAGCAGTTTAAAAGCAGGCCAGGAGAAGTGGGTGTCAGCTGATGGGCTCCTTAGCCGAGAAGTGAGCTGGGATCCAGTGGATTACTCTAGCATACCCTTTTATTCTCTCTGGCTCTGGCATTCACCTCAGTGTGGATCAAACCCTTTGCAAGTCCCGTTTGCTGTGCCACTGCCTGTGCATTTGGAACTTGTTACTTTTTTTTTTTCCTGGGACCCCCTTAAAAAATCCAGGTACCCTAGAAAAAGATAAAAAAGCCAGAAAAAGACCTCGCGTCCCCACAGCGTGAGTGGTCTGCAGTTTTCATCTTGTCTGCAGAGCGATGTTGAGCAGTAGCATATACAAAACAACTGTTGATTAAAAGTTTGAGGTGCAAGATCTTCTGCAAGACGTACTGAGTGAACAGAAGATTACTGTCCCAAAAGGCTTGGGGAAAAGCTTTTCCAGGCATTACACCCTCTGCATCATTCTCCTGCTGATCCTCTCGCTCCATGGACTGTGCTCAGTGGGAGGTAGCGTGGATACTTCTCCTTGTATGCTGTGAACCACGGGAGGTGAAGCCTTGGGCTAGCAGAGGGCAGCAGCAGGTGGAGAGGGAAACTGCCCTGGGTGATGTGGAGGGTGTCAAATACTGCTCGGAGGCTGGGGCAGGAGTGGGTTTGGTTCCCAGGCTGGTTTCCTCCAGGAGGGGGCACCACATGCCTCCTTAAACAAAAAGGCAGATGTGGCAATTAGTGTTAAACTGCCTAGTGAGGGGCCAGAACATGTCTGTGGCACAACAGAAGTATGCTCTGGAAACTGAGATGGAAAGGGCTGTTTCAGGAGCTATTTTAGAACTTGAAAATTACCATTCCCTTCTTCCAGGGTTACAGCCAGACTCACCAATGTATACCCCTAAATTGGGAAAGAAGGGAAGATAAGAATTGGTAGGAGTTCAGAGTGAAGGTGAAAGCTGAGCTAATGAGGTTTAGTTGTACTTTAGGCAGAGGTGAGCTCTATTCCTTGGAGACATCTTTGACACGCTCCAAGCTCTGCCGAATCTGTTTCTTGCAGAGTCCTGCTGTTGCCAGATTGCTGTGGCAAGGCAGAGTGACTCCCTTGCAGCCTGTTTCTTGTGTGTGTTTTATTTTTGGTGGGTTTGATTGCTTACACTGTTTTCTGTATCTGGCTGGAGATGTCTGCTCTGGGTGGGGAGGGAAGAGGATCATGAAAACTCCAAGGGCACTGAATTCCAGTTTCTCTATTGGACCACATCATTAGAGTGGCTGGACACTCACTGGCTTTATGGATTTTAATCCATGACATGGTGGAGGACCCTGTGAGGATGTTCCAGGGTGATGCAACCAAGATACAGCCTGTAAGGAAGGTGATAGTAGCAGTGACGTTGTAAGAGACTAATGGCTGTAATAAAAGCTGGGAAGACCAGGGAGGCAGATGTTAGAGATAAGAAATAACTGCCTGAATGAATATATTTAGCAATAGTACTGGAAAATAAAAGGAAAGCTTTAGCAATGCTTGAAGTCAAATGCCTACATGTAGCAAGAAGCTTAATCTTGCCTGTATCTCCCTCTGAAAGAGTAGAAGGTAACTGCCATGGACCACTTTAGGATAGCAGCCAGCCTGAGATGGGTTCTGATGGCATAAGGCAAAGGGTTGTAACTGCACAGGGGCATTAGTTGATTTGCAATATTTATCTTGCATGTTATAGCCCTAACTGCTTGACGTGGACAAGAGCATGTGCTATTAGGGGAGGCATCTGGAAAAGGCTACTTTAGGACTGATGCTAATTGTAAGGTAATACCCAGCCCGCTGTGTTGTGGACTGATGCTGCCTTTCCAATGACAAAAACAAACGTTTAAACTCACTAGAAGTCCTGCAAGGCTTCTTGAAAGGAAGACCGCTTGGGCTGAGACCTCTTGAATTAGCTTAACAGTCCTGTAGCCTTGGTTTGTTGCTGTCCTGAACTATTGTGTGTTATTGTCTGTGTGCCGTCACAATTATTTCATTTCACCCCAGATGGTGAAGAAATCTTTGTATGTGCAGTTGATAAAGCTGCAGAGATGCAATAATATGAGACTATTAATAAAGAACATAGAAGGAGGCAAACCCATCTGTTGCGTGCTACAGAAGTACAGCTTTCCTGTACGAGAAGGGATTTGCAGTTGACTCTCTTGACTATTAGACAAAGTTGAGGGCTGAAGAGAAGGTAGCTGTTACGAGCTGTTCTGACGGGCCTGATTCTGAGCTTCCTCCAGTTGGTTAAATGGAGAGTAGCTCCAAAATCAACAGAAAGCTGGTGTAAGCATGCAAGCCCTTACATTTAGGAGGATAGTGTTCTAGCTAGTGTTTTTCCAAAAGCAGGAACCTTCTGTGCCAGACTGCACTGCAGCACCTCACAAGTGCAGGAAGGTCTTGCAAGTCAGCAATGCTTCAGCTAAAAGCTGATCTTTTGTGTGCTGGCAAGGACTCCTGGAATCTGCAAAGAGGGGAACTAAGGAACATCGGAACAAACTGGTTTTCAAAGAGGGCTGTGAGCTTGTATTTTGATTGAACAGGCAAATGCAGCTAAAACAGGACTGAAAACCCACTTGCGCTGGGACACGATCACAGGCTGACAGACTTAACCCCTTGAAGGGTCGCCTGCTCTCCTGTCTGTCAGAGTCATGGCATTTCTGGGTGCTGTTTGTACTGCTGGTGATAACTCCTTGCCCCTCTATGCCCTATTGCATGTTCCCAGGTGGCGTGACATCCTGTGGCTTGTCCATGTCCTCTTTCCTTGTCCACCTTTGCTTCTCCTGTGCATGCTTGGGGTTGGAAGCTCATGCATGGGGATTGATGCTGTCAATTTATTTTTGCACATGAATGTTGCTGGATGACCCGGGTTCTGAATAAACCACAACTTGTTTTGCACTTTGTGTGCCTTTGGACTGGCTGGGAGTGGGGTGGGGAGGTTTGTGGTTTTTTTGTTTGACTGTTTGGGTTTTTTTTTTATTTGAAGTAAAGAAGCTGAGACTTGCTTAGAGGTTTTCCAACTTCCTGTTTTTCTGTTGGACATAACTTGCCCATCTGTCCTTTGCCAACCCCCCAAAGGAAACAGGAAGCTTTGCCTGTGTGTCTCTGAAGCAACCAGCTGCCTGAACCATAAAGATCATGGAGAACACCCAGTTTGTGCTTTCAAGAAAAGGTGGGGGTGGGGAATGCTAATTCCACTTGTTTTTATTTTCATGCCTCTGTAAGGTCACTGGCATTCAAAACAAACCATGCATTTGAAAATAGGCAGTGTCGAAGCTAGTCCTCAGTTTCAGTTCCAGGCCATTGCAATTTGCTGGACTGGAAGGGTGCTGAAAGGGTTTGAGACTATTTGTAGTCAGATACTAGGAATATTGTTACTGTTTGGAATAGGATCTGGCTTCCAGTAGTGATGCTGCACACTTCAAGCCAGTTCCTCCTAGCATGTTGTAGTTGCTTATGTATACAAAACAAAAGGCCAAACCAGTTTAAGAAGAAGCACTCATGTAAATTAGAGGAACAAAACAAATGCAGTATGGAGCATAGGCAAATGAGATTTCTTTTTTTATGTGTCCCCTTGAGGGGATGTAAAAGACTGGTGTTAGGAAATGCTGTTTGACGTTATGGTCAAACCGGAGGCAATGTTAAGGAAAAAAAAATGAGGGAGATGATTTCAGAGGGGATAGGTGAAGTGGGAAAGAAAGGGCTAGATCCTGGGTCTAGAGGATTAATTTCATTTGACTGTGCTGGGCCTGACCTAAGAAATAGTTACTGATACTGAAATCACTAGAGGCTTATGAATCGAGGCAGGTAGGTGGGTGTTGTGTGAAACCCAGAGGGCTTTAAGGGTGCTCATTTTGGAAGGGTTTCTCATCCATGATCTCTGTAGATATTCTTCTTTTGAACCACAGCTAGTAAAGTCCTTCTGTTTCTCTGGACAGGAAAGGATTCCCTCCTCAGTAACATGGCAAAAGTGTGGTGTAGGTGTGATGTGAATAATAGACCTCAGCTATGTAGTCCTGCCCCAGCACAGGTGGAGAGCAGGGAGAAGGAGCTGCATGCCCAGAGCACAGTGTTTCTTGAAGATATGTCCCCTTGAGTTGGTCAGATCCTCTGTCTCTGCTTGCAGATGTTAATGGAGAGGGCCAAGTGCTTTCACTTAGTGCCTCAACAAATGGGGATTGAAATCCACTTCACTTCCCAGGGAGACTTCCCATAGGATTTAGCAGGTTGTAGCAAGAGACCAGTCACCTACTTAGCCTGCTACAATGGGATGCTGAACATCTGGAGAGATTGTTCACTTTAATGGGAAAAACCCAACAAGCAATAAGTAGAGTGTTTGCATCTGGGTTTGTCAAGAGCCTCATGCCAGGAAGAAGGTGGTGGGTTTGGCACAGGTCTCTGGTGGAAGGTTGCTGCAAGAGTGAAAAGGGCTTTTCTCTGAAGCCCAAAGCAAGAGGGAATGACCTTTGCCCCCAGCAGACCTCCAGGAACTTGGAAAAAATCTGTCTGCAAGTCCAGCTTTTCAGAACTTCCCTTGAAAATACCTGATTGAAGGGTGTATGTGTGCATGCATAGGTGGGGGCTGCTCCCCCCTTTATACCTCCCTTTCCCATGTGCACGCGTTTTTTCTCTCTTGCAGCTCAGCCAGTACCCTCACCTGCGTGAGGAGATGGAGAGGATTGTTACTACTCACATCCGTGAGAGAGAAGGCAGGACCAAAGATCAGGTAGGGGATCAGGAGTGCGTGTAAGAGGGGAGATTGGGTGGGGGGACACCTTTGAAGGGACAGTCTAGGCTAGAGTGGCCTGAGCCGAGGGGTGTCTGGCTGCAGAGCGCTGATCAGATGAACAATGTACAGGGCTCTGTCTGCAGCATCAATCACTAATGTCTGTCTTGCTCTGTCTGTGCCTCTGTTTGGCAGGTCATGCTTCTAATAGACATCGAGCTGGCCTACATGAACACAAACCATGAGGATTTCATTGGCTTTGCCAAGTAAGCACCCACATCCTATTGCCTCCTCTTCTCTGCATGTGTTTCCTGTGGCTCTGTCCTGTAGCTGCTCCAGTAAATGGGTTGCAAAGGCCCTGGTGCAGATGCTGTGGTTCCAAAGTATGGTTCAGCTCAATATTGCTTGTTTTTCAGTGGCTCTATTGTAAGGCTGGGGAGGAGAATAAGAATGTGTAGAAGGGGGAGTTAGAGTATTAGGTTTGTGTCAGGGGGGAAAAAAAGAAGCAGTGGAGGGTTAGTGACCCAAATATGGTTCAGATGGGAGTGAGAAGATGAGTAGACCAGGCTGAGAGAGCAGATGGAAACTGGGTTATCAAGGCTTGGAAGCCAGTGGCGAGGGGCATGAACTCACTGTAGCAGGTATCTGATGGGAGCAGGATTCAGGTGATGAAGAAGAGCCTGAGGGGTTTTGAATATCTCTGCTGTTGTTTGCAGTGCTCAGCAGAGGAGCAGCCAGATGAGCAAGAAGAAGGCAGCTGGCAACCAGGTAGGCCAAGTTCCATCTCCTTCACTGCTGCAAGAAGGACATGTTTGCTACCTGGAAGCTACCAGGTGGACAAGCACTGGGCTGGATGCAGCAGTGCTCTAAGTTGTTTTGGCTTTATTTTTACTCATCAAACTCTGTTTATACCTGGAGGATAGTGTTTTAGGTTTACTGTAGTCAGGAAGAACTGAGCATGTGGCAGCAATGGAAGGAAAGTGTTGTACAGGAAATGGATGCTTGATAATCAAGATCTGGTTTTGCTTTTCTGGTAGAAATCCCTGTTGTGTAAATCCCTGTTTGTTCAGCCCCTTCACTAGCTGTGTTAACTCTTCTGCTGAGGTGAGGGGTACAGAACACCAGGTCTGAATTGTCTTTTCTAGTTGTCTTTCCCATCGGTGGTATCTACTTTCTGGAAAGGGATTTCAAGAGAGTTTGTGGACTCTCTTCTGGAAAGCTTCACTGGAAATACTTAAACCCTTGTACAGGGAGACAAAGGGTGATGATAGCCGTGATTGCACTGGGTATGTATGAGAGCACATCCATGGGAGAAAACGGCAGCGGAGGGAAGGAGTTCCCTTATTCCTTCAGGAACTGTAAGGAGTGTACATACAATTAAAAAGGGGCTAATGATACCTTCTCCCAGATTTGCTGGGGACATGGCAAGGCCATCTAGGCTAGAAGATCTTGTAGAAACAGAGCCTTACAAGCAGCTTCATAGAGAATGGAAGCAAATGGTTTTGCTTAATCTTTTCAAAGACATTCACTCCTGACATCCATCCTCTTTATGACATGTTTGACCACCTTTCCCTGCACATAAACATGCAGACTGTTTCCATACTGTTGGCAGGTAGGCAGGTCAGCAGGTTGGGCTGGCCAACCATCCATTTCATGGGATCTCGGAGCAGCTGTAGGGAACCCCATCCTCTGCAGTATACCCTACAGAAGAGCTGAGTGTAAAAGAGTGCAAAGGGCAAACTGTGGATCTACCTGTAAAGCGCTTTGGCTTTCCTGTTAGCAAACTTTATTTTGGGATGGGGGTTGCTTTTTTTAAACACCTGGGGGAAAAAAATTTGGTACCAGCTTCCAATTTATTTTATTTTATTTTTGAGCCTCTTTTCTCCTGCTCCGGCTTTCCTAGTAATAATCTCTCCTCTCTTTGCTCCTCTCCTGCTCTCTGCTCTGCTGCTGTTGCTATGGTTCCCCTTTGCAGGATGAGATCCTGGTGAGTAGAAGGCCACTCAGCAGGGTGTGCTAATGAACATTAATGTTGCATCTGGGAAGGCAAGAACAGTGCATAGACAAATTATTCCCTCTGCTGCTGAATGGGGAGAGGAGGGCAGCTGGCACTAGACACAGGTGAAGCACGGATGAGGTGAAA